TGACTTGACGACGCATCCCCGTACCCCCTTTTTAACATTGGCAACTGTTCTGTCTGAGGCGGTGCAAGATTTCCGTCATTGGAACAAATTTGTTTTAGGAGGTTTTCAATGCCAATGTTAAGAAGGGGGTACGGGGCTGTAAAAAATCTACGTTGTAAAAGCGGTGCAAGATTTCCTCCATCCACAGAATGATCTATGCAACCTAAACCCTAAATCCTAAACCCCTAAACCCCAAACCCCTAAAAACCTAAACCCCTAACCCTAAGCCCCTAAACCCCAAGTCTGACAAGCCTGACCCTCCAAGCATGCCGCACCCGGACAGTTCCAGGGCCCAAGCGGCGCAGCGGAGGCAGACTCCGCCCTGCCAGGATGCCTCTCTTTTAAGTTGAGGGTTCTTTAAGTTTAGGGTTTAAGGTTTAAGGTTGAGGATTTCAGGGTTTAGGGTTTAGAGTGTGGGGTTGAAGGTTCTTGGTTTAGGTTTTAGGGTTGAGGGCTTAGGGTTTCGGGTTTAGGTTTAAGGTTGAGGGTGTAGGGTTTAGGGTTGAGGGTTTAAGGTTTAGGGCGGATGCTCCGAAGCAGTTCCTTCAAGGATTCTGCATTTTTATGGGAAAACATACCACATTGGAGGGTTTAGGGTTTAGGGTTACATTGGAGGGTCCCGGAGCAGCAGGGGCCCCTAACAAAATATGCGCCGTAGTCTTGGGGTCCCATATGGCCAATTATGGGGCTCCCAGCTTCCCCCAAACAAGCCCGGTGCCCTTGCGGGGGGGGGCCTTGGTCAGGTTTTTGGGTCATGGGTCTAGGGCCTCCAGCCCCCCTTGAGTAGGTAGATGATGGAGCACATACGGAACTAAGGACCTCATTTCTAGACAGCATCTTGATAAGCAAGTAAGCCTCGTCCACCACAGTTTCTTCTTCATCAACAGATGCATGTGCATCTCGGTTTGAATGCTTATGAATGTTGGTTGTTGGTGGACATGTGGGAACCTTGAGGCAACTTCATCATGTACTCCCTATAGAAACCTTAAGAGGGGCCCCACAAGGTTTTCGCGATTTCCACGTATCCTAGTTGTGCGAATCTCTAAACCCGCTTGCAGTCCCTAAACCCTACACACCTAAACCCAGAATTCTTTCGAATCCAGCCTAAGCCCCCAAACCCCTAAACCTGTATACCCTACACCCTAAACCCCTAAAGCCCTAAACTATTCTTCTTTCCCCTCAAACAACGCCCTGCCTGGGCAGCTCTTTCTCGAGGCTGGAGCCTGTCAAGTTCTCTTCTTTTAAAGTTAAGGGTTTAGGGTTTAGACGTCAGGGGTTTAGGGTTTTAAGGCTAAGGGCTTAGGATGGTTTAGGATTTAGTTCAGGGGTCAGTATGGCATGCAGGAATGGATCCTCTAACGTACTCCCTTGGCCCCTACTAGCCACAAGTGAATCTTTGTAGAATGTTTTCTGAGGCCCAACGGCCTTCGGTGCTGAGGATTTGTTTGAAGGACCTGTTTTCCGACTGCACATGGCTCCCGGACAAGGCCCTGCCTGGTTTCATATCACTACATGCACATATGGGTTTAGGGCTCAGGGTTTTGGTTTCAAAGTTTACGATTTAGTGCGCCGACCCTTGGGAGCACCATGGAAGGCCGGAGTCCACGGACCCTACAGCTCTCAAACGCAAAAGGTGGCGAGGGGGAGCAGGGGTCTACCTGCATTTTTCCTGGAGGAGCGCACATCCGAAAAAGCCTGCCAGGTTTGGCACGCCGCCCAAAGACGTGAGGGGCCCAAGCCCAAACCGCAAGTGTCGTCCCCAAACCCTTCTTGGTGAAAAAAAGGTATCCCTGCATATTCCTGCCATGTATGTCGTGGTGTTGTGGTGGCTTTGTAACTTCGGCCAGACAAAGTCAGCAAAAGGCATCGTGCCTCTGCCAGAATGGGCATTCCGAGATAGTAACATGAGGACCCAAAAGCATCATATCTTGGTTGTTGGGCCTGGCTCGTGGGACTTTGCTCGCATCCAGGACCGCGGCTCCTTCGGGCGGGCTATGATCCTGTACACATTGGGGATTAATGAAGTCAATATAAGGGCCTTATGGGGATTATGTTGGGCTGATGAAAAAGGATCACGTAGGGATTGGCTTTCTTGAGCTAACATGCGTGAGAGGCGCAAGCAACACCTCTATCCTTCCGAAAGGTGGCATGGGAGAGGGCATGTGCCAGACTTCGGTACCCATGCAACTCCCCAAGCCACTCAAGCACTAAGACGAGGACCCTACATTCCAAATCCAGCTCCAGCGTGCCCGTTCTCCTTGGGACTTCCGCTGGTATGGGACAAGAGGCCTTCCTGCCATGCTCAGAAGCAAAGAGGTGTTTCTCAATGTGAGGGGTACCTCTAGGGGAGATTGGGAATATGGGGGCTACCGGGCCTGGCATGATGGCAATGGGTTTCCTGTTTGGAGACAGTTCCATGTGTGCCCCAGCTGCGCCAGATGAACATATGCAATCAACTAGTGCCTTCTGGTGTCCAGGCTCGAGAAACCCACCCATACAACCCCAATATATACCCTATTATAATATAGCAGTTTCCATTTTCTTTTCCATTTTCTTTTCCATTATCCCTATATAAGCCCCATATACCCTAATAATTTTGACCCGAATGCTGAGCTCAAAGCTTCTGCATTGTCCATGCTGCTGGGAACCAGTCCGTAATCCGGCGCCTGTCGAGACAGGGCCAGCCGACTTGGATAATTCGGAAATCGCACAGATTCGGGAAGCAACCCTTTTAGGTGTTGAAGGAGACGGAGCCGTCCCGGCACAGCTGAAGAAACCTGCAGGCAGCGCCTGATGTTGAGACTTGAGCCACTCCCGCACGGAGACCGCCCTTATCGGCGAAACTGACTGTAGCGACCTTGGTAAGTAAGCATCCAGTGCGTACTGCTGACCTCTGGCTAGCCGTTGCGAGAACCTACCCTTGAGCGCTTCCCGAATTTCTGTGTGTCTACAAAGATTCTCAGTATACTTTGGCACTAGACTATTTAATCTTCTTTGGAAGTAGGTTTGACGAATATTCTTTGGCAGCATATTACAAGATAATGTGGGAAGCACCCACACCTTCTGAGGTTCCAGCGTGATGTCGACAGCCGCTGCCGGCCGTTGGGACCGTTAGATACACGACTTCCAAGGACATCCACAGGACCCTCAGAGCTCCTTCTATAAAGAATTTGGGTTTAGGGTTTAGTGTTAGGAGTCTACACGGGCATATAGGGAGCATACAGGAAGCATGTAGGGATAGATAGGGATATTATCCCGATGATGGAGACGCATATGGAAAATCAAATGGGGATGAGGGGTGTTGGCCGCCAAGCTTTGGAACCTTGCATTTTCCCTTTGAACCCCTGCAATCTAGAAAGTTGTCCCCCAATTTGTGTCAGAACAGCTGCAGGTACCTAGTAAGTAAGTTGTGGCTCGTCGTGGCTTACCGACATCCGGGGGAAGATGTGTCTCCATTATTGGCGTTCTATATCCCTACGTTACCCGTATATTGACCCTTTAGATTTCTTACACGTATGAAAACATCTACATATATATATATATGGTATATGTTACAGGATAGCTCGGGAAACTTCACAATCCGAAAGCGCCTCCATGCATGGGCTAAGCCAAGCTGACAAAGCCGGAAACTGATGCGTTTTAGGGTTTAGGGTATAGGGCTTGGGGCTTTAAACCTTAAACCCTAAACCCTCTTGACCCTAAACCCTAAACCCTAAACCGCGGGGTTTGGGGTTTAGGGTTTAAGGCTTGGGGTTCATGGGGGACAGCAAGCTCCCAGTCAGCAGCTCAAAAAATCCACGCAAGCATGAGTCATGAGGAGCAGCCAGACGTTGGGAATTGAATCTCCCACCATGGGGCCTGCTTTGGGGACCCCTCCGACAAAAAAAGTTGTGCTAACAATGTCAATTGGAAACGGCAGGGTATTACATGGCTCTAACTTGAGTAATCCTTACCTAAACTTACTGGTTGCTGGTAGAGAATATGGGGATAGAATCCCTACATAATCCCCGTATAATATCGTCCCTTATCCTACACCCGGAGCCCTAAACCCTCCATGTTCCCGTCTTCCCTACCAAGAACCAATAATTTAAGTAGCCTAGGTTGGCCCCTAAAATCCAGTGACAAATGTGAGTATATATGCTCCCCCATTAATAAAGCCATTAGGGAAAATGTTACATATCCCAGGGGCCTACCCAGTAGCCTACTAAAAAAAAACCTAAACCCTAAACCCTAAACCCTAACGAAGTCCCTCTTGAAGGTGGCCTTACCGGGTCGCCAGATGCATCTTGGAACCTGCCAAGAACTTCTCAAATTGAATGTTTTAGTCCGCCTGAACTAGATAGAGTATGGGCTATATGGGGGGTCTTATTATAATGTACCCAAAGCCATATTCCATCTGCTTAAGGGGGACTGTAGGTCTTAGGTCTTAGGTTCTTGGTTTAGGGTTTAGGGCCTTTCTTTCCAGCACCTCTTTTACCCGACGGGTAAAGCTCCAGTTGAGCAGGCGAAGTTTAGCCTCTGGAGGGTTGAGGGTTTAGGGTGTTTAGCTATTCGGTCGTCAAATGATTACTTCCATCCGGGCCCGCCTCACAATCCGGCCCCTCATCTTCAACACATCCCAAGAGAGACAGGGAGCCACCAGATGCATAGTTCCCCAAATAAGGGTCCACTTTTGTACCCGCAAATATTCCTGACATCTATCCCCCAACACCTCAAGCCTTTTGCAACGGTGGGTGCGAAAATGTCGGCAGCCTTCTAGGCAAAGCATGGGAACGGAGTCTTGTAATACCACCCTTCTGAAACAGAAGCTGAAGTGGATGCCTGCAAGGGAAACTCAACGTAGGGGTTTTGGTTTTTGCACTCGGGCTGTGTTAAAACACCTTACGCCCCAAACCCATTACCCTAAACCCTAAACCCTCTGAACCCCATCATAAGCTCCATCTCCTGACTGGCCTTCAGGCTTTGCCTTGACAGAATTTGCTTCTGCAGGACTTCCTATCCTGAGCAGCTTCCCAAACTCACCAGAAGTGTATCCTGCTACACTCCTCTATGAGAGGTCCCTTTGATGCATTCTCCATTCCAGACTGAGCACCAGGCAGGGGTTCTGAGAGCAGGAGGAAGAGAACAAGCAGACTCTTCCAGAACGTTGCTCTTGAAACCCCACCTTCGCGATGGATTGGGCAGCAGCTTCGAGTAACTCTCCGGTGGTTAGTAGGCAGCGGGTGTATGGATTACAGTGGTCATCGCAAGGCTTCAAACACAGCATTTTCGCATCTGCTATGCACGTCAGTTATATGATTTCTGAGCAAATCATAACACTTCATAATCCTGACTTCACGCCTTTCCGGATGTTTTCCCAACAGTAATACTAGCTAGAATTAGGGGTGAGCTCGTTTGAGCTCGGTATAATTTGCCCAGATCATTTGGCTGCATGGAGGCTGTGCTCCCCTCACAGCTGCCTGTCAAGACCTCTCAAGTGCTTCGAAGCCATCGTCAAAGCCTTAGGCAGTGAGATGGCCTCACTTGAGCCCTAGTCTAAGCTCCTGGCATCCCCCTTAAGGACCTCTATAATGGTCCCCCACCCATATAACTACCCTCTAAGGAGTTCAGACTCGAGCTCATATGGTTCGTGGTTTGCGAGTTGACGTGGAAAGCAGCCGCGACCGGCCTTGGGCCCTGGACCACGACCGAAAAAAAGGAACATTGTTAGCGGAAGTTGCTTGCCGGAAATGCTTATGCTCATGCCGGATCCTCGTTCGTGATTTTCCGCGTGCGCTTCCGCCACCAAAGACAACAAATCAGGGCAAACACAAGACAAACGCCCACACTGCCAGCTATGACAGCAATAGCAATTGTGCCCAAGAGTGGACGACCAATGCAGTTGCATTCCGAGCCAGTCTTGCTGATTATCTCATATGCCATGGACCCACGATCTTCGTGATCCAACCGGTGACAATGCAGCATCATCTCACCTGCAATGGTGGTGGCCTTAAAACGCACTGTGACTGGTGTCCTCGTGAGTCCATCAGACATGAAAGTGTCATGCCAGTCGCCAAGTTGAAAGAAATCTGTGCTGGCAAAACCATCAATCAGCTGAAATGGGTAGAAGTGCTGATGGTAAGGATGCCCTCCAGTAATTATTTTCCTCTCCACAACAGCGCCCAAGAAGGTTTGATGCAGCGCCGTCTTCTCAGAGAAGGGCACACCATTGATGGAAGCCTCTTCAACTTCCGTGTCGCAACTGCAGCCCTCGCTGGCAGCTGTCGTCTGCAAGTTCTGCATGTAGCTAGGGAGGTCGGGCGACCAGGCCAACAAAGCGGAGCTATCAACTGAAATCCCGGAGGTCTTCAGTGTGGCGATGAGGGCATCGCCGCTGGTCACTTGGTAGCTAGTGGAAGGTGCCTGGCATCGCACCATGATGTCGGCTCGACCTCCTGCTGGTATTGGTGCCATCTCAATAGCGCGAGGAAAATCACTGATGTACATGCCATCCTTAGCCAAAAGCTGCATCTCACAGCCATTGATGGCAAGATTCAACGCACCTCTGTGAACATTGCGCCACCCGGCAAAAATTACACGCCACCGCTGCCACTGGCCTGGCGAGGCCGCAATCTGAGGCAGATGCTCACCATTTAGGAGCAGGAGATCGGGTTGATCGCCTGCTGGAGTGGACCAAACAAGCGAATCCCCTGACCGTTGGGCAATCCTGCTAAGCTCGGTGAGGGCCAAGTCCTGCACAACCATGAGAACTTCCTCTGCATTTGCCACCTGCTCTGGCAGGCTGTTATCCGGGTCTTCCACAATCAACGCAAGGGCAGCACCGCCACCAACCTGCAAGGCAGAGGAGCCGTGGCGGTGAGGATGAATCCAGTTAGTGCCAGGCATGTGGTCGTCCGGTAGTGTGGTCTCGTACTGAAACACCTCACCAGGTCCAACAACCAGCTTGGTGTCGTCCGATGGCAGATCTCCATGAACATGCAGCCCATGAAAGTGGAGGTTGGACTCGTCCACATACCCAAACTCATTGTGCACCTTCTTTGCGTTTGGCTGTGCCGGCAAGCGATTCTGGAACAGGATCCTCATGCGATCACCTGCCTTGACACGAATCGTTGGCCCCGGGAGCGTTCCATTGAGCATGAAGGTTTGAAACTGGATGGAGTTGGCCACATGCGAGGCCGCCTCCAAGGTTAAGACCACGTCCAGCACGCCATTTGATGAACTCACGCTCGGCAACACCTTCATCCCAGCGGCCTGGAGCTTGGGTACTGAACGGCTATCGTGGGAGCATCAGCAAAGGCAAAATCGAACTTGCATACGTCTGGTGCATGCTTGCATCAATTTGAGACCTCTTAAAATACAGCTCAGGAAATTACATGAAATTACAAGCTTTAAGCAATGATGGTTGCCATCCTTTTTGGTTGCGCCACTGTCGCGCCGCTTCTGCTTAGCGCTCCTATTCGGCTGTCACTGCCGATGCAGCAATGCCAGGCAATGGAAGATCAAAGATCACAGGAGGTCCTATCCATGCACCAGCTGCAGCAATCCGTGCTCCCAGTCACGGAGCACTTCGGGAAAACACCTACTCAGAATAGATCAGTGTACTAGCTGACGGGCAGCCAATGCACCTTCTTGGCAAAGCCCTTGTCGTCAAGCAGCAGCCTTACGCTGCATTTGCAGCCAGCCTGGACCTTTGAGATCTTGAAATTGAAGCCTTCACATCTCCACTTGGGATCAGGGCCCTGAACCGAAACTCCTCCTCCCTGACATCTTTGGGGCGTCTGCCCAGCGTGAAGGCAGGTGCTCCCCTGCTGGTCCAAGAGAACCTGAAAAGACTCCTGAAGGGATCTTGCAACGGGCACCCTTTCTTTAGGGATGCCAGAAGGTTAAGAGAAGGTGTTCTGAAGGGGGCCCTCCTGAAACCTCTATACCAGGGGCCCATGAGCATTGTAAGGAGACTGTAGGCCCAAGGCCACGCCCTCAATTTACGGATTACGTTTTGAAAGTGCTCCCGCCTGACCCGACTCCCCAATGCACACGGCGTGGGAGAAGTAGCCCTCCTCTGGGCTCCAAAGCCTCGGATGCCCGCGACTGAGTTAAGGGATCTGAGACCAAAAGAGCGACTTCAAATTTCCAATTACGGACGAGGCTGCAAAAAAAAACCAACAAAAACAAACGAAAAACAAAAAAAAAGGCTATCTTCCACAATGCAACATGCCCTCTACCCCGATCCTTCCAAACAAAAAGTCCTACTCTTACTGTTTGTTAGTAGCGAACGGAGAAAAGGATCCGAATAGTAGCACCTGTAAACGAACCGCAAAAAACGAAGTATTCTGCGATGACATTTCCCTTTCCTTCATTGTAGCATTAGACCCTATAGTAGCCTCCGTGTCTTTTTTGACCTTCATTCCCTATTAGCAATCAACATCTAAGGTTGAAACCATGGGCCCCTAGTATGGGCACTTAACCCTGGAGTTCTTTTTATGGGGACCTCAGAAAGGTACCCCTAAACTTCGGAAACCCAATTTGGGGGGAGGGATAAATGCGGTCTCCGCTGCATTTCCTCGGCGCCCCAGCCGTTCCAGGTTCCCGAGATGAAGTACCGCCGTGCTCGTTGCGGAGGGGCTGCGGGAGCTACCTGGATACGTGGGGAGATATCCCCTATGCAAGGGCATGTGAGCGAAAGTCTAAACTCCTAGTATCCCTTTTAATAAACCCTAGAGTACTCTTTTATAATCCCCTATATAGCCCCCTTTGAGGGGTTTAGACTACAGTTCATGTGTGGATATGTCGGGTTTAAGGCTTCAATAGGGTTGGTAAGGTTTGCACTCCCGCAAGATAAGACGGAAGCCTAAGAGGGACCCTACAAAGACTATTGTCCTTTTTATAGGGGCCTATACGGGCTTCCATGTTACCTGGGGAGAAGATAATTCCCTTTTGGCTGGGTCACGGGCTTAGTCCCCCTGAAGTAGATAGAATATGTCTTTGGGTACGTTATAGTAGGATCCCATATACCCCATATTCTATCTACTTAAGTGGGACTATACCCTAAACCCTAAGCCCTGAACCCTGAATCCTGTATTCTATCTACTTAACGGGGACTATAGGGTGCTGTACGACCGCCACACCCCACCCCGCACCTCTGGACCTTGTTCGTTGAGTGGGGATGATACAGGATCCTGTGAGGATACTTCCAACGTAGGAGGCTTAGGGTTTAGGGTTTAGGGCTTAGGGGTTTAGGGTTTTGGGGTTTAGGGTTTAGGGTTCAACACTTGCACAGCCGTAGCATGATGCACTCTAAGGTTTTCGCAGCTCAGGACTTGGGATTTAGGGCTTACGGGGCGTTTGAAGTTTTTCAGGTTTTGGGTTTCCATCTTTTTAACCCAACATCCTTGCTGCCTGCTTATGCAAGCGCAGCCTCCTATAAATTAAGTCTCCATCTCGGAAACTAACATGTGACGGCAACATGTTACAGTCCGTTCACACTCTGACAATTTAAGTGAAATGAGAGGGGGGGCTAGTAGCAAAGAAGCGAATACGGTCCCCTTTACTATCCCTATATAGTTTATTGCCTTATTCGCTTCTAACCCCAAACCCTAGACCCTATTCCTTACTAACCACCCGTAAGATCACCTGCCTCAGAAGCAGCCAGACCAACAAGCTTCTCCATGGCCTGGTTCTTCGCGGCCTTTTTCTCCAGCAGCCTTGGAAAGTCACGACCGTCATTTAGGGCTTAGGGCTTAATTAAGATCCAAGGGCACTTTATTTGGAGGTGTCCCAAATTTCTGGTGATTTTGCGGGTCTCCATAATGATGGTGACAATATTTTGGGGTATAAGGGAAAACAGTATGCGGGTCATGACTCGCGGTTAAGTTAGCTGCGCCGAGATCTGCTCCCCGACCCTTACTAAGATCTGCAATGGACCTCCGAATCTTGAGATTCTAGGGGCTTTAGGAGGGACCCTTGATGGGGACCCTTGTAGCTTATTGGGAGTAATATGGGTGCTACCTGGTTATATAGGGGGTATATAAGGCCTATATAAGGGTTATATAATGTAATGGAATTAGGGGTCCCTCCTAAAGTCCCTTGAGAGCTTCTTGCCTGGAGGCTGTCGGTCGGGTCCCAGCTAAGAAGATGCCTAGAGTAACCCGGGCAACCATGTGGGCGGTTATCAAAATTATGGTCCCTTTTTGGGTCCCTATAATAATACGGCAACTAAAATTTATGGTGCCCAAAAAGGGACCATAATTTTGACAAACGCCCATGTATGCATCCCAAATGCACCCCGAACCATAATTACAAACCAAGCCCTGAAGGACAAACCCCAGCATCTCAAACCGCCAAATCGTTAGCCCCAACCCCAAGCAGAACCCTAAACCCACCACTTCAATCCCAAACCCTAAGCCCAAAAAGCTCAACCCCGCAACTCAATCCTATGCCCGAATCACTACAATAATGCCTCGTTGTATGACATGGTCCAGTTACAGAAGCCTTGTTGGGAATAAGATTGCAAATTTGAACCCTGAAGCCCTTCACCCTAAACCTGAACCCCTAAATCCTACACCCCATTATAGTAGTTCCATTTTCTTTTCCATTATCCCTATATAACCCTAATAGAACATAATGTACTATGATATGGGATGTGCCCTTCACGCTTCAAGCCCGGTAGCTGGCTGCGCTTCTCCTGGATCTTCAAACGACGTTCGGCCGTCCTCTCATCCTTGACCACTTGATCAACCACCTGGGCGATGAGCAGGGGCAAAAGGAATGGAGCTTCGCTCCTTCGGATATAGGGTTACGGTTTAGGGCTGAGGATGTGACGGCCCCCCTCTCATGAATATTACCCTCACTCGTCTGGATCTATTTCGGCATGATACTATGAGCGCTTATCAGTAGCGGCCCTACTCTGGTGGATCGTCAGAATTGCGTGAGGTGTGCTGTAAATAGCCATCAATGTGGGGAGGGGATTTTGGGTGTGAACATTACACTGGCGGAAAAGAATTTCAAGCTAAAGCCTCAAGAGCTCATCAACGGGTAAGGCTTCAATACTTCTCGAAAAGGGCCTCCTAGAAATCCCGAAAGTAATCCCCAATCTGATAGGCACCTCAATTAGGGACCCACAACTTGTTGAAAAAAAACTCAGTTCAACAATGATCCAGCGACGGGGCGAGGCCCACCAACTGAGTCTAAGACCTCACAGGGGCACTGTTTGGGTCCCTTTCGCAAGCACTCAGAAATCTAGCATGATGTAACGCACTTGTCTATTTACTCTCCCTGCCAGCTGTCCTTGCGGCTCACGCACAAGATCCTGTATGACTCAATGTCTTGGCAGCTGCAATGTTGCAAGAAAAATGTTACCCGAGCCCCCAAAATCAGGACCCTGTAACTGTCATATGATGCCTAGAGGCTCCTGATTATGGGGCTGGGATTACCAAAATCCTCTCATTCTACTTAGTCATCAGATAGGGTTTGGGATCTGTGTCCATTAAGAACTCCCTAGACCCCAAACCCACGCAACCTCAAAGTTGTCTTCGTGCAGAATGGCGCTGCCGACACCGTCAATCTGCACCTTGCGCGGAGGGGTGGGGGGGGCGGTGCGGGGTGGGGGGGAGGGAAGCCCCTACTACAACCCGAAGTCCGATACCACAACCAGATGGTCCCTACTACAACTGAAAAGCGGATCCTATCACAACCGGTCCCAAAAAATCACAAAACCGGACCCTACTGCAACCAGAACCAATAATCAGCTTACCACGCGATGCACCCAGGCCATTTAGTGTAGTCTGGAATGCTGCTCTTGGAGTGCTCTTGGGATGGTGCTGGAGGGTTGATCTTGAGGGGGTGATCTTGGAATGGTGCTGGAGGGTTGCTCTTGGAATGCTGCTGGAGGGGTGATCTTGGCATGCTGCTGGGGGCCCTCTTGGAATGCTGCTCTTGGAATGCCGGAGGGGTGCTCTTGGAGAGCTCTTGGAATGCTGCTCTTGCCATGGTGCTGGAGGGGTGTTGTTGCCGGGCTTTGGGAGGGGGGGTTCTTGGAGGGCGTGTTCTTGGAAGGCTTTTGCTGCGAGGTTTGCGGTTTCCGAGTGATGGAAGCGAGTTGAACAAAGTCAGGGCCAGGGTGTAGCAAAACGCATCAGGCTTTTGAATGGCACAGGAGCCGGAGCAGAGTCAGGATTTAAAAAACGTTCGACGGGTGCTGTAAGCTGTTCAAAGGTTAATTTGGGTTGGAAGCTCTGGGTTCGGACCCTTGGAGAAAGATTCTTGCTAGTTGGTTGTACTTCTACATCTCGTGATCTGGAACCAAGCAATATCCTGATATTGGGAATAGTCATAGCAAGGTACTGTGATTTGGCCCATTCTGGTTCCTTGTACTTGAAATTTGGGAATAGTCATAGCTAAGTATTATGATTTGGTTTTGTCTTATCTTTTTCATACCCTGACCTTTGAGAATAATCATAGCCACACCATATGATTTGGGCATTTCTAGTTCGGTATACCCTGAAGTGATTAAGGATGTCAATGTTATAGGTGCTCCCTTTCAATTCCACTTCTTGGTACTCTGACGAACGATGGTCCGTACTACAACCCACGTTTCCTTGAATTTAATCAAATATCCTTCCCTCGGAATACAAATCCGATTCCGAAAATCCTGCTGTCCTTGAAGTTAATAGCTGGTTGTGATAGGGGGGGTTCGTGGTTTTCCTAAAACCAGCCTCTGGTTGCAGCACAGACCGTCTGGTTGTGGTATAGGGCTTCTGGTTGTAGTAGGGACTAGTCGCAGGTGGGGGGGCCGGGGGTGGGGGGGCCGGGGGGGTTGTGAAACCCGTGTAAGCACAAGATGATGTTACAAAAAAACGAAGGAGGTAAATATGAGGAAGCCTGTTGCAAAGAAATGATACATCCTTTTCAAGGGGAATATTGCTGCCGGTCAAACGCGCGTACCATTCAGTTGTTGTACAATGCCTTTTTTGAAAAATATGGCATTTACTCTTTTGATCTTTTGTACGAAATGGGGCCCAAGCTTCGCAAATCACTAAGTGCTTTGGAACACACGCAAGGCAACAGCTGCTGGCCTTCCACTTGCCATCGCTGAACTTCTGCGCCAACGAAGCGGTCAGGCCATTCTTTCCATGAACTCCAGTCAACACAATCCTGAGATAGGCACGGCTGTGACTCGGAAAGTCTACACGTCCTAGGCACGTTTGCTGACGAAGACACCGTGTGCCAGTCTGCAAGGCTGCTTTGCTCTTGCCTGAATCCAGGATGCATTGCAGCTTGCTTCCCTGCTCTTCCGCTGCAAGGTAGCACCATCTACGATTAATTGAGAGAAGGCGCCTTGCGATTTCAAGTCATGCGAAGCATTCACTAGTTCCGGCCAGCCACCAAGCGGTGAGTTCCCCAATTCAGGGCCCATGTTCATCGGAATAGGTCCTCAGTCTTTTGCTGATGACTGAAGACGCCTTGCTGGACATGCTACGCTAGGGCTGGGACGGCGATCGACGCTCTCGAGATTTTTCAAAGCCTTTCCCAGGCCGAGTTCCACAGCATATTTCCCAAAATCCCCAAAAGGCAACCCCACAGTGTCTGAGTAAGTGATTGCCTCTCGATCTCGAGTTGTTGCCAACACTTGCCAGTCCTTGGAAAGGAGGTACGTCCAAAACTGGGAGGTCCCCACCTCCCCCCAAAAAATCTCGTTAATCCCTATCATGTCAAAATGTTACAACTGCTCTGATGAGGACCCACGCGCAGGGACCACTGTCATAAAGGGTACCTCAAAAAGACCTCAACATACCTTGCTAATTATTTGGCTCCTACAGCGCGGGCTCAAAGTTTAAGCTAGCAACATGATGTTATATAGGAGCACGACACCGGTTGCATAGGGAAGCGGGACGCAAGCACGTCCACAGAATTCTTGGGTCTACGGAGAGTAGATCTCTGCTGGCTAAGGCAGCAAGTGCATACTGATGCATGTGCAGTTCACAAGGACCCTTCTTTGGTAGCGCTTAGGTGGACCCCCCACCCAGTAATAGTGACTATAAGGGATAATAGGGATTATATTAGGGTCCTCTTATATTCTTATTATACCCCTAAACCCT